TCAGGTTGGCTTATACCAAAGGGACCAGTTAGTCCGACAATAGCTGTCTGCGGGCTGGAGAACGTGAGGACCTCGTAGTTCCTCAATACACAATCCTGGGCCTCAGCTGTCTCAGTCTAATGCTGAAAACCTAGAGAATTCCTAGAAAGCTCCCGCTTTCAGAAGAAGCTAGGTTCTAATGCTAGCAAAACATGGCAACAGCAGTGACTACGAAAGGAGAGACGCAGTGACTAGCAAGAAGCAAACACACAGGACTACTAAGGGGGAAGTAGTTCTTTATCTGGGCCTTCTGGAAGGTTCTGCCCACTCTGGGGGAGGATCTATTTCATTCCGTTCACCCTTCCCAAGAACACCCCTCATAGATGGCCCAAAGGCATGTCTCTTAGCTGATTTTAGTTTCTACCCAAGATTCATCATCAAACTTGCCCTTCTCTTTTCAGAAAGCCACAAAGACATAAGGGAGCACACTGTAAGAAATTTGCCTGCTGACCTTAGAGGTAGGACTCAGGAGATCACCCTGGCCTGAATCCCAGAGTCTAGCCAGCCTGCTGGACCCCTCTGCATAGGGCTTTCTGCTGGTGGTCAGCATGCTGTCCGTTCTCATTACTCTTGGATGAAGAAGGAACATTAGAAACATTAATTTAAAAAAATCCCTCACTGAGCTTTCTGGTTTTAGAAACTATTCTCTGACTATTGTTAATGTATCCATTCCTCAGAAAGTAGAATTGATCAGGTTTGAAGCGTTGTGTTGTGCTGCCCATTTTGTCACCATAAATAGAACTTAGCTGTACTTGTTCCTGAGAGCCGTGCACTCAGCTTGTTTCTTCGGATGTTTTACTTGGTCAGGGGACCGATTGCATGGTTGTACGATTACAGGTCACACTCAGAAGGTGACATTCATTCTGTGCTTTAGAGGTCTTGCTGGATGCTAAGTACCAGTGACAGCATTCTGCAGATTTGTGTAACATCATTCCTTTGAGAGATATTCTCTGCATTATCTGTTTATTATCTGGCAAGAACCAGGACGGCCTTCTGACTCCTAGCATTTTGGTGGACTCTGGCCAGGAGGACTTGTAAAGTGTTCACTTTCAACTCAAGGATGACTTATAAAAACAGGATTTTCAAGAAAGCCCAGTATCCACAGAAATAATAATGATAGGAGAAATGCTGCCTTTTGTGTCTCTTCTCCCCTCAGTCTTATTAAAAAGTTCTTCCTCCTGATATACTGAAATGCTGAAAATGTGCCTAAAGGCCTGTTTGTTGGTACCAAACATGCAAATTCTATTATTAAATAATAAAGATGATCAGAATTCATGGTATAAGACTTTCAGAGAATGGAAAGAAAAAGAAATTCATACCATTTAATGGTTAGCAAACTGTTTTAAACTCCTCATCAAAGGCCAGGCTGATAGATGGCTGCTGTTTTAGCTATCCCACTAAGGCGTGGGCTACATGTCCCAAAGGGGATGATTTGGAGCAGAGAAGTAGCATGATCAGATCAAGCGTATGTGAGAGACAGCCCTCCTTGAGGCAATGAAAATAGATGAAGGAAAAAGAGATCTGTGAAGAGGTTTGGGGAGAGGAGGCAGGTTGCAAAGGCAGGAGCCCAGAGGCAAAGCACAGGAGAACACCTACAGCTGAATACCAGTCATTCCTTTAAAGTCACATCAGAAAAAGACTAACAGGCAATACCAAGACATACAGAAAAGAAGCTTCAGAAGGGCTGTGACCAGCAGCCAGAGGCTGCAGAGCGAGGAGGGCTGAGGGTAGAACAAGATTGTGCTGCAGGCTGGGAAGCTAAGGCAAGGCACTGAGTTCTCCTTTGACACTTGCTGAGAGCCAGTCAGTGAATTTATAAATAGAGCAAGTGGGCAACTGTGGTTACAATTAGAATAGGCAATAGGGAGAGGGGAATAGCAATGTGAGTTATTTTGCTTTTGATTCTGAGACGGTAGTGAATTGATCGTGGCAATGGTAGAGAGCCAGGGAGTAAAGATGCGTTCAGAAAAAGTAGTAGGGCGGGACCTGATCTCAGAGGAGACACAGAAGGATGGGGTGGCAGATGCATTATCATCATGGGAGAGAGGCGGCCTTTCTTTCAGATGGAAGGTCAGGGCTGACAGCTGTGGATTGATCACACCCAGCAGCACTGGTTCTCTGAAACAGGCAGCATGAATGAATGAGATGTTAGGAGGGCCAGGGAATGGTCAAGACAGCAGGATAACTGAATGTGTAGAGTGACCACTGAGAGAACTGGGGCTTGAAATAGAATTGTTAAGAAATATAGAGGGCTTAACAAACTGGACACCATGGACTTGTCAATTCACCAGCCGTACGGGCATCAGGTCTAGGGATGTCTATGGTAGGAGCTCTATTTCTTCAGTCACTTTTTTGCAAGGAGTGAGGGGATGTCAGTGGAGGAAGAAATCAAGGGTGCTGGCAAGATGTGACAGCTATGACAAATGCTACGGGCGCACAGGGACAGGTGAGTAGGGGTGTTGCAAAGGGCGGGGGGGGGATAGTTGGAGTCATCTCCACTTGCTGGTCTGAGAAGCTTTAAAGGCCAACTTAGTCTCCAAGTTCTAGGGCATCTTCAAGGGGAGAAGAGCTGAGCTATCTAAGACAGGTCTCTTTGATGGCAGAGGCGGGAGGATGTGTGTGGAGTGCGCTCGTTGCGGAGTTTGGACGTAAGTATATAAGCTCACCATTTCTGTTAGAGATAACCTTTTAAGAAGCTTTCACCACAAAATTACAGTGGACTGGAATTAACAACAGTAAGGAGGGGACAGAAGCAGAAATCCTGGAGCTTGCAGCATCTGTCCTTGGGGTTTGGAGTTGTGGGGACAATGACTGGATGCCCTCTGACGCTGGGTCTGATTGCTTTCCTTCACCAGTGGCTCAGACCACACTGTGAGCTAGTGACATATGGATGTCGTCTTATTCATCTCATTTAAAACGTGCTCCTCGTAGCAGACTGGGATGCCGTTTGCCTCTGTGGCTTGCGGTAGCCCGGACGGTTTCCCCTTCACCCTGGTCCTTTGGGTTGGACTAGTCTGACCAGATCCTTGGGAAGGTGCACATAGCAGCCCACACTTGACTCACCTCACTGCAATCTCTTGCTCTACCAGGTTGCTTCTGACTCAGCCTTTAAGAGTTCCTGCTTTCATCTTGACATCCCCCTGTTTCTGTTCCCTTTGACTTATCAAACAGTTGCCCCTGAATCAGATGTTAGGAGGGCTCACCATAACATCCCTTTTGGGCTGTGTGCCCACATCTAAGACATAATCTGAGTTTTCTCATCTCAAACCTGTGGAGGGTTCATGTTTTCTTCCCCCAGAGAGAGGTAGAGGAAAGGGAAGAATGTGAAGATTTCCAAAGAGAAAAGGGACAGAGAGACACAAAAGGCAAAGGGAAGTACAAGACCCCCTGTCCTCTTGAAATTGAGTGACTCCCTGCAGAGAGAGATGTTTGTAGCTCCAGTGGGGATAGAATAAATGGCCTGGAGGAAGGACTGACTTGCCTGAGGATAGATTTCAATGATGAGTTTAGAACACAACTGCTATTTATTGGCTTCTGTGTCTCAGGTATTTTTAAACCTATCCCTTTTAATCCCTTTGGCTGTTTTACTGGGAAAAATTAAGAAAGAGAGGCTCTCCAACTGACAGCTAAGAAAAGAGCAAAGCCCAAAGGCAAGGTCAGCCCCGCTAACTCCATTTGCTTCTCCAGACTCTGCCAGGTCATCTTCCCTGTGCATCAGATCCTCTCATCTGATTTGCACACAGCCTTGCTGGTTTGCAGCTGGGCAAAGCTATTTTGTTTTTATTGAGAAGGATGCTCTCCAGTTTCAGGAAAGGTGTGTGAGACAGTTCTATTGGCGCCTGGTTGTCACCGTCCCACAATTGAGCATTACAAAGCCATCATAATTCAAAGCACTGCTGGCTGGGGAATGCACTTCATTAATGGTGCTGCTGAATAAAACACACAGCAAATTAGAAATAAGCAAATGCTTGGGAGTGTGAGTATACATTTGAATAGCACAGGAAGTGCTGTTAGAGAAAGAATTAAACTGTGGTGTGGGTGAGGGTGGGTGGGGAGAAGTAGTGGGGAAAGAAATTATATTGGGATTCTTAGAGATTTTGTTTTTATCAAATTTATTATTGTTGTTATTATTGTTTTTGTTGTTGGGAAAGCATCTCTGAGAAATGTTGTAGAGTTAGTCATGACTCCATCTTGCTTATCTCTTCACCTTCATGCCCCCTTCACTCTCACCTCTGTACCCAGTGTCTAAAGAAGTCCAGTCTATCTTGACTTCAGAAAAGATCTTAAATTTGTTTGCTTGGCTCCTTGCTGGTGGACCCAGATACAGTGTGTCTCCATTGAACATTGTGTCCATGACCCTCACTGTGTCCAATAGTCAGTTAGTTAACATGCCTATGTCCACAAGATTTGTAGTTTTGGAATCCGTTAAACAAATGTGTGTGCCCATGAAGCTCATTATGCGCAAGGGTCCATTTTCTTTGTCCTGATACTGGTTTTGCTTTGCTTATGTTCCACCCTGATTTTCTGAGTTCATAAAAGCAAACATGTGGGGCTTCTATATCAGAACTATTACAACAATCAGAGACTAGATCCACCTGTGTTCTTTATGGAGAAAACATTAATTTCCTGTGTGTCTAGGCGTCTCACCCAAGACAGCGCTTAAAAAAAATAAAAAAGGCTATTTATATGCAGTGATTAAACTATAGCTTATTCATTATAAATACTAACCTGAAAATATGCAAAAAAGGAAATACAATGCTTTCAAGATTGATTTCTTTTTAGTTTGACTTTATAGTGTAAATTTTTTAATTTAGATCCATCAGAGGTGAAAATATCCATTTCCTTTCCCAGGGATAAATTCAACAATGGAATAAAAATCAGGTTTTATTTAAGTACATACCTTATCAATTGAATCATATTTTTATTATTAAATATTTTAAATTATTTTTTTCTCTTTTAAGAAACAGCACATATCTGGAAGAGAAGTCACTCCAGCTGATAGAAAAATGCAAAAATCTGCAATATGCCTTGAACTCTCTATTTAACAAAACAAAACGGTAAGTTCCACTCTTTACATTTAATTTTAAATAAGTGTTTTGTATTCAAAGCATTACAAAGCATATCTGAAATCATTTGGAAAAATAAGGCTGGGCTCACTTCAGGCTTGATGTTGGTTCTGAGAATACCCCATCCCCATCCCTCCACCCCAGTGAGGAGGATGCAGCAGGGACAAACTGTGCAGAGCAAGGTCATCCCCTGGCTATAGGACTCAGCTTATCTGTCTTAGATCCACATTTCTTATGCACAATCTGTTCTCGCTAAAATTTAAGGCCTGCACACTCATCTGAGAATCTGATGTGCATTTGAGGCATTATTCTGGGAAAATGCTCCCTTGCACACAATTTTGCTTACCACTTCAGATTACCGGTTTACCCAGCTGACCCCAGCTGTGGCTCACCCATCACTCACTGCTGTGCTACACCCTCTTCTTCCAGCTAGCAGGAAGGCAAGTGGAGATCCCTACACCTTAGGCATGGAAGAGGCATTGGTGGCCGGATATTCTGATACCTGGGGCACTGCTTGGATCATAGCTGGAAAGACTAGCAGGGCTGGACTGAGGCTCTGTGTGTGAAGCATGGAGTTGTGTTGTGCTGAGTAGCTCCCTGGAAGAGGCTGGGCATGTATCTCAAGTGGGCATGTATGTTTAACACATACAGGGCTCTAGGATTAATCCCAGGACCGCCACAAAGAAGAAATGTAGGAGAAAGAGATAATCTTCTGAAAGGAGGGGTTCTAAGTTTCATTTCGCTGTGTGCTTGGCTGAGAAAGGGAGAAAAGGGTAATCGGTAAGAGATAGAACTGAGTGTGTGGGAGGCTGAGCAGAGAAGAGAAGCCAAGGTGTAGGCGACCTGGTCCAGCCTGCTTTACAACTGTACCTTGGGACAAGCCAGGTTAGGACTTTTATTCAATGCACTGAGCTCCCCAATAGGCTGCTTCCCAGCATGCAGGAGGCAGGCGCCCCTGAAGAACATTCTGCAGGCTATGCCCTTTCTTTATACAACAGGGAGATGCTTCACAATGAAGCCTGCTGTGTGAAGAATCTCAGGCACCTCCCAGAGAAACCTCATTGACTGTTCTAGACTAGGCTCACCCTGGGAAGGCAGGACCAACACGGCAACCCTTAATATCCCTTGCCCCTCTCTGTTTTTTTGAGCTTCCTGACTACCCAGATCCTTGAAATTATTGGAAAGCGTTTAACAATGTTTGTGGACTCTGATTTGAGTCCATCCAGTTGAACAGCCTAGTCCTGTAAAACAGATGGACTATTGGGGACTTATCTTCCTTTTCATTGGATCTAAATATACTAAATCTGCTGGAGAAAGCTCCTGTACTCTGTGGCTTCCGTTGCCACACTTGATGCTCTGCTCGTCCTTCTGGCTCCCCAATTTTTGGCTGTCTTTGTTCAAAATGGCAGGCCTACACAATCTTCCTCTGTAGGCTCTAGGATCTTTTACTATTTATTTGTTGGATTTGAGCTCCAGGGAACATGCATAAGGGATTAGAAGGAGGGAGGGAGGAAAAGAAGTGCTCTCCATGCACGTGTTAACCACGACACGTCATTGGCAAAAAGGTGAATATGACTCCATGAACTTGTTCTGTCTATCTATCGGTCTATCATTTTTCTACCTACCTGTTATCTGTCCATCTGTCTGTATATCTGTGTATCTATCTCCCTCCCTCCCCATCTCCCTCTACCTCTCTTTCAGCTCAGTGATATATTGTTGAAAGTCCCTGTAACCTGACCTCACCTTGACAGCATTTCTGTGGACGGATCAGAACATGTGTCTACACTCGTCCCCTTGCGCAGTCCCTCACTTGACCCGGAGTGGCTCCCACAGTGTAGACAGCACTCCACAGCTGTTTTGATCCTGTCGGAACTGTTGTCTTGTTTTTCAGGCCTGTGGATGTTCTGAGGCTTTGGTCTAGCTTTTCCAGAGAGGCTTTCCATTATAAACCTCTTGTAGTTCTCTTCACATTATCAGACACGTGACACCAAGAAACATGAGAGCTGGAAGTAGACAACATTATTCTTTGCTTCAGTGTGCCCTGCAGAAATCTGTTTACTCCTTCCCCCAAATGCAAGTCAGCATATGGCCCTCGCCTCTGGCTGACTTTCTTACTGGTATTGTCCATGTTTGCTCCACAAGCTCTTCAACAGAAGGATTTTCAGCATTGGCACGTGCAAAGTACTGAGTCAGCATGAGGGAAATGCTCTAATGTTCTGACCTGAGCTGAGAGATCTGACAACTCTTGGTGTTCAGAGACAGAGATTAACGGCAGCATGCTAATGAGAATGCCCGGGCACATGCTCTCCTGTGCATTTCCTCAGCCTTGTCCTGTTGTTTGGGACTTGGTGGCGAGACCTTTCCTCAGCTGTTCTTCTAGGGCTTGCCTTCCCATTACATACACAATTTTCAACTAGCTCATAATTAGCCTACTCTAGTATTCTGCACAGCAAAGGTCTAGAGAGAACAGGCACGAATGGCCCACTGCTAGGAAAGTGTTATTCTTGCACACAGGAGACTAATATTTTTTTTTTCCGGTTGTATTGTCTATTGTCAGGAATTGTGCATTCTACAACCAGGGGACAATTAGGAAACTTGCAGGGGACAATTGGGAAAGCCATTCAGTGTATGGTGATTAAAAAAAAAGCAATTTCACTTTCTTAGAAATAATTATTTAGCCCTATTTTTGTCATGGTCTGTTAAAGACTTAGAATTTTCTCTTTCATCGGGTGATTTGTCCCTTTCAGGTTGCTAAAATAGGATTTAGGAGACAGAGTTACAGTGGGAGGGAAATAGCACTTTCTTTCTTTTTTTTTTTCTGCCTAGTGTTGACTACATTTTTGAATAAAAGAACAATTAGGCAGTAGAATTAGGACAATCAGTAGAATGAGTCTTATGTGTGGCAATTTTCTTTCTCTGACTCTATCTCACTGTCTTTTACTGTCTCTCTGTGTGTGTTGTATATGTGTGTACTTGTGTATACTTGTTAATGAAGTTGTGTGCACATGTGCATGCATGCATATATTTGTCCATGAGGGCCAGAGGTTGATGTTGAGCGTCTTGACAATCACTCTCCATTTTCAATCTGAGACAAGTTCTCACACTGAGCCTGAAGATCAACTTGGATCAACTTGGTTGGCCAACTTGGTTGGCCAACTTGGCCATTGTGCTTCAGGGATGTGTTTATCTCTTCCTCTCCCTACAACCAGGGTTCAGGCATGAAACAACTATCCTGCCTTTTAGGTGGATTCTGGGGCCCAAGTACACTGTGGTCCTCGTGCTTATAGTTTACCTCGTGGGTAAAGTAAAGCAGGTACTTTACCCACAGCCCAAGTCCAAGATTCTGTATTCTCTTTTAAAAGCATGGTCTCCAAGGTTCAGAAGTGTCTGATTTTTAGTTCTGTCTCTGGTGTCTGTACAAGAATTCACTGTTTCATAAACATTTATAGAATAAGGAAGTGAAATCGTTTATTCCTTAAGTCTGTAAAATACTTTTTATATCTTATAATCTGTATTAAAAATTATCATCACTCAATCCATAAGTTTTAAATTTTTTGATGCCAATTTCCTTTATGTGATTATTTCTGTTACTTTGGGCTTGGGCTTTTCTGGGATGGATTTTCTAACTGATCCTTGGCCCCTGACTGTCTCTGCAGGTTTCTCCAGTATAATCCTTTTCACTAGGTCTTCTACCAGGTGGAAATATTAAACGCATTAAAAGTGCAATCTTCATTAGTTTGCCCATTAGTCATTGTGGCAAAATTATTTTTTTACTTTTATTTATTTATTTGTTTGTTTGTTTGTTTTGCTTTTATGTTTAGAAAAATGGTTGCATGGATATTCAAGCTGCCCATTGTCTTCTTTATTATTTCAGGCAAATGAAGTCTTAGCTCAGAGAAGTTACCTCAAAGGTGCTGACTGAGGCAGTTTTAAGTGTCTCTCTCTTGGTTTTTCTGCCTCTTTTGAGGTTTATCAAGTTTGTTTTGTTGTAACCAATACCAAAGACAAATCAGCTTATTAAGAGAAAAGGTATTCCAGGACCAGAGTTTTAGATGCTTTTGTACATGATCATACAGAGGCCTCTGGTGGGAAAGTAGCATATTGTGGCATATTTACCACATGGCTAGAATGCAAAGCCACAGTCCCACAATCTTTTTCAAAGAATCACCCCCAATAACAGAAACCTTCCTACCAGGCCTTACCCTCAGTTTCCACCATCTCTCAAGAGTTCCAAACTGGAGCCAGAGCCTTTCACGTATGATTTTTGAGAGACATTTAATATCCAAATGAATCTTTTCTTCTTTGTGAGTCTAGGACTTCCTCCCCAAATTAGAGTTATTTAATCTCTACTCTTTAGTCAAAATGATGAGCTGCCCAGGTGAAATCTCTCAGAACTCCATGTCTAAATGCAAAATTCTATTTGTCCACACATACTGCTCAATAGTCCTTCCTGATAAGGTAGCTCCCTTGGTGTCTTACCTCCTGAAAATTGACTCAGTGAATCTGATAATCATGTCTAACAGGCAGTGCCCAGGAAAGACCAAGTAAAATCTCATACTCTGTACATTTTACAGGAGGCTCCAACCATACTCACTTCCTGCTGACTGCTTTGAGTCAGTAGATTGTGAATGGGGTTGATGCTGGGTTGGTGTTCAGAATGTAGAGTCTGTCTGGGCAGCTGCTTCAGCATAAACTTGAGGCTCTGGGAAGAGAATACTGTCAGTGGAGGTCAGCCAGGTATCTCCACTTTATATGTGTTTTGTAGCTTTACCATCCTGACCGTCCTAGTGATTATAGGCCTTGTCCTAGTTTGGATTTCGATTGCTGCAATGGCACTCCATGACAGGAAGCAAGTTGGATACAAACAGGTTTATTTGGCTTACACTTACATATCATTGTTCATCACTGAAAGAAGTCAGGACAGGAACTCAAACAAGGGGGGAACCTGGAGGCAGGATGATGAAGAGGCCATGGAGAGGTACTGCTTACTG